TACCGGGCTCGTGAGGACTCTCGTGCTTTTCGAGACGGATAAGGAAGAATAGTCAGGTGGTGGTGGTGATTATGGTACCGGGCTCGTGAGGACTCTCGTGCTTTTCGAGACGGATAAGGAAGAATAGTCAGGTGGTGGTGGTGATTATGGTTCAGTGAATGATAAGGCATATGACAAGGTGTGTGTGGTTGTGATCCGAATAAAGGGGTTATGGGTCAGAAGTTCAGAACCCAAATAAGCGGTTGTGAGTCAGTTATGAATAGGACTCCTATTGTTGCCCTGCCCTGGCCGCCCTGATCTCTTTGGCAAACTCGGAGACCAAATATTGAAGTCGATCGCGAAGACCGGGAAACTCTTCGATTACGGAAAGCACATCTTTAATCTGTATGCGGTAGAGGACACAAGGCGTGAGTGCCTTAATGGTAACCTCCGCTCTCACTGTCTCCACGTCTAGTGGTCCCGGATTACTAGTAGCTTCGTTGGGGTTCTGACCGTCCTTCGGCACGGTCGGCGTCTGCACCTCCCTTTCGACGAGAGCGTCGAAGACAAGCTCAGAACCAATGCAGTATCCGGGATGGACTTTGACGACGTTATTGTTCTTCAGGTTCCGATTGGGCGATGGGCCCCGTCTTTTCTTTTTCCTGCGTATCATCTTCAGAATGGGTTTCAAAAAATTGAAACGGGAGGTACTCCAGAAGGTGGTGTTTGTGGAACCAGGGGCCGAATGCCTGGCGGTTTCTGTCCTTTTGCGGTTACTTGGCCTTTCACGTACCGATGACGCATCCTGGGTTGACTCCTTGTCGGCGTCCTGACGATTGTGGTCCCCTGCAATAATAACATCCTCCTGAGGAACAAATCCAGCGGTGCGCCTTTTGCCATCCTCGAAGCCATCCGCTGATGTGTCCAAGGCGCGTGATGGCGGCATTGTCTCGTCTTCGAAAACCATTCCCAGATCTCCTGATCGCAAGATGTAGACGTGCCGGGAGATCTGACCTCTATGCATCAAAAATGAACCCCCTACTAAGAACTGCTTGGTTGCTCGTTCCAGCAGCGAATGGAGGAACACATGGTGGTGCGGAAGGATTGGACTGCATTATGAAGACACAACCAATGCCAACACAGTGATGCACACCAACACATCAGTATGGGGTTAAAACACACACAGACCCACAGTACACCTACCTCCGCACACACAGTACCACACAGTAAAACACACAGCAGAACACACAGTAACACCACACCACACAGTAACACCACACAGTAACACACAGTAACACACAGTAACACACAGTAACACACAGTAAAGCACACAGTAAAACACACAGTAAAACACACA